TATATCAGTGTTGTATTATTCTACTGAATTTCTTATGCACTATTATCCTCTTGTCGCAATACAGAAATGCACTAGCATACGAGTAGCGTATTATTTTAACTAGTCCACAGTACTATTATGGCATCATATTATGTTATTATACAGGGTGTCCCAGTTTTTCCGGCCATTTGCCGGCATGTTCTGCACGAAAAAGCAAGAAAAAAATGTTAAATGAACATTTGCTCTCAAGTGTTTTATTAGTGTTATAACTAATAATACAAAATTATAATGAACTGGCATTTCGCCGACACAGTGTACAAACGTATTATATCTCCATTTCTGTTTACATAAACTTGCCTACTTGCTCACGTAGTATCCACATTATTTATTAACGTTTCATTAACGAGTTAACATTTCAAAATAACGTCCGTTATTACAAATACGTTCGTTGTGTTGACAAAGTGTTATTTTATTATAATTTTGTATTATTTATTATAACTCCTTAATAAAACATTGAAGAGCATATGCTCATATAATATTTTTTCTTACTTTTACATATAGAACACGCTGGCAAAGTTTGGCCGGAAAAAACTGGGACACCCTGTATATTACTATCGTTTATTATTATATCACCACAGTAGAGTATCGCCAAATCGTACAACGCGCCAGAAATATTGCGACTATTGTTTTCATATAAGGCAATTCTTTATACAACGCGGCAACGGTGGATAAAATTGACAAATCTAAATTTTTGTAAATATTTTTAGTTATTGAAGTATTTTGTTGTATGTCATTTTATGTTATTCAATGTACGTTTGTTGTACATATACCGGCAATGGAGTATATGTTTACTATTGTAAAATTTTTGTTAATTTATTGACGTACAATTTCTAATTTTGTAAATCAGTTTCATTCACCTAATTCCCTATATCATTTGCTCTGTATTATCACTTGATCTCTATTATCTTAGTAACCTTCGTTCTAAACTTACGTTTATGTTTTTATGATACTTTGAAGTTTATCGAAATGCAGACCCTAATTTTGTAAATTAGTTTCATAGATATCTCATTCCTCAGACTCTCAAATCCCTAGATCGCTAGATCCCTTCATCACATACAGTCCCTGACCGTCGAAGGACCACGTACGAAAATTTCACTTTTATGGCTATAATATTATCTCATACATGGAAAACTGTCTTAAGCCATGCAAAATTATTACTGAATACGTTGATAACGATATATACACAGCAATTTGTTATTATCGTGATAATAAATTGTGTGGGTGACGAGCGATTGAGAGCCGTGCGAGCATTTACGTTAGACTCGAGTATCGATAGCGCGTGAGGTAAAATTTGGAAAGTGCCATAGAAAATGTCTGCAGCCTAAAAAACTAGTTTACAACTCTCCAGCTATATTATTTGAGTTGAAAAGAATTACAGATATTTGGAAAAATAATGAAGATATAAAGCATATGATCAGTGTATACAGAGCATATTCAATACAAGCTGTGACCAGCTTAACGATTAGATTTATTTGTTTAATTCTCAAAATAATGAAAAGACGTATTTATCATCCGTGCCGTGAACAAATTTTTGTTATAAATACTTCGAATCTGTCTGAATTCAATTTTTGTTTGAAAATGAAGTGACACATGAAAAAATTGCGTTCTATATTTTTGCCTTATTTTTTCATGTAAATTCACCCCTTTTCCGGTCGTATCATTTCGAAAATATTCTGTATGGATGTACAGAATAGGAATACATAGAATCTGTATCTACATATATAGAACATTGTTAGTAAGTTTAAATTCCGAGGAATGCTTAAATACTAATGTTAATACTAGAATGTTGTTAATAGAAATACACTAATATTACTTTGTTGTGATATAGAGAAATATAAGTGGATTGGTACGTGTTTATTTAATTTAAAAACTTCTTAAATTTATAAACTTAATATGCAGAGCAGGATTTATTGGGAAATTATGAATTTAGGAATGCATACCTTTAAATTTCTGAAAAATTAAAAATTTGCAAATTCTCAAATGTGAAATATTTAAATTTTCAAATTTCTGGATTTTCAAATTTTTTGATGCCTAAATTGTCAGATATGCAAATTTTCAAAGTGCTAAATTCATTAATTTCAAAAATCACAAATTCTGAAATTTCCAAATCTTAAAATTTCAAAAATTCTGTTAAGTTCACAAACTCCCAAATTCCCAAAATTCTAAAATTCTCAAATTCCTAAATTTCCAAATTCCAAATTCAGAACTTTCAAGTTCTAAATTTCTAACTCTCCAAATTTCCAAATTCTAAATTAAAAATTTTCAAACTTCTAAATTTTCAAATTTCCTAATTCCAAATTATCAAATTCCAATTTGCCAAATCTCCAAATTTCGAAATTCTTAAATTCTGAAGTTCCCAAAGTTCCAAATTCCCGGATTCTAGATTCCCACAAATCTCCAAATCTCGAATTTCTAAATTTCCAATTTACATATCTCCAGAATCGAAATTTCCAAATTCTAAATTATCACATCTCTAAATTACCAAATTTGTGAATTACCAAAACTTCAAGTCCCCAAATCCCGAAATTTCTAAATTCCCTAAGTCCCAAAGTTCAAAATTCCTACATTCCCAAATCCCGAAATTCTCAAGTTTCAAAATTCTTAAATTCTTAAATTCTTAAATTCGTAAATTCGAAAAATTCTCAAATTGGCAAATTCAAAAATTCTCAAATTCTCAAATTCCCAATTTCCCTACATACTATAGTAATATACAATTATCGTACCACATAAACATACTACTATCATGCTATATTAACGTGCCACTACCGTCTTATAGTAACATACTATCATACCACACTATTACATTACTAATCAAATCTTGAGTTCACACGTTATCTATAATAAAACAAGTAATTTATGACCCAAGACTTCATAATTGAACTCTATAGATACCGAGACCGTTTAAGTGCTATTATCCTAAATACCTCGATTATCCTAAATGTCGTAAAAATGTTAAACATTAAATTCTCCAGTATCTTAACCACATGAAAGATATGCAAAGTATGAAATACGTAGTTCGATTGCGAGCAACTTTAATTACCAATGATATGCAGAGTGTAACATAGTCCGATCACGAGCCACTCTATTCACTCTGCATAAATTTGCAATATTTTATTCGATTACACCTTTGATTAATCTTTAATCGAGGATTTTCATTCCGGTATGCGATTTCTCGGAAGCGCGTTACATGAACGCGAAAGTGATTCACGGAAGAGTCGTCTATGAAATTAATAATGGTTGCATTTTTATCATCTTTTTTCTTTGCTGACGGTGTTACGTTCACCTGTCGTACATAACCTTTTTTCGTTTTACGCGTTTGCAATAATCTTCGCGAGATCTTTCCTTATTTGGGTTTGTAATACGTTTAAATTCGTGCACGAAGACTTCCTTTGAATTTCTAAAAAGAACGAGAAGTTGCCATCGAGAAACAGGATGGGCATAAATGTTTGAAAAATGAAAGGAAACGACAAAAATAGAACTAATGGTAAACCGGTTTCAAGCAATAGTTGTATCGGTAATTTAAATGAAATCGCGTTGAAAATTTTTTATTAAAATTTTTTGTGAGAAAATACTGTATTAGCAAATTAAACGACTTTCTTATTATCAAATTTTCCAGTGGGAAATTAATAAGATTTTTTATTAGAAAAATAACAAATATTTTATTTGCAAATTGAACAAAAATTTGATTTAGAGATTAAGAGAAATTTTATTGAAGAATTGAAAACCAATTTTTATTAGAAAATCTAGGTTCTGTTAGAAAATTTTAAGAAATTTGTGACAAGATTTTTGTACTAGGAAATTATTTTATAAAACTTATTATCATGTAATTTGATTGCAATTGTAATTAATGTAATTGCAATTACTATAATTACACTTTTTGTTACAGTAATTAGCGTAATTACACTTTCCGTAATTAATTATTAATCACACGTATAGCACCCGGTTCAAGAATCTATACAAATTTTTACTCGAATACATAGTACTTGTATTAAATAAAATTTCTTGATGCAAACTTGGTATTCTAATCGATTTGGAATACATTTATATGAATGAATCGAACCGTGTTCAGGGTGCATATTTTGATTTTTCGTGGTAGCTAAGTCGTTAATGGATCCATTCATACCTGGCTCTGATACATTAATCGTTCACGAGGAGAAATTCGAACAGGCCAGAAAATCATGCTGCTATTTTCGGTGGCAGGCATCGCCGAAATATTTCTAAACCGTGCTCAATGAACTCAATGGACCAACCCTTCCGTTGGCAGATGTACAGGACAACGACAGAACACTGCCAACTAATTTCGCGCAATCGTTCAGCTCTCGATTTCTCCAACAATGAATAACGCATTGGATAATAATTATCACCTGTCATTGCCTAGCTAAGTAACAAACCTCCTAACACGTTTAAACCTTGACGATCATACCGGGGTATGAAACAACCCTAGCCAAATTAGCTTCAGTTTTAGCTACTTTATATCTTGACAATCTGAATACCTTTTTTGAAACACCGGTATTTTTACTTTTGTATCTCAAGAGTTTTCAACTAAAATTTTAGTTCTTTATATTAAAATCAAAAAACCTTTTGAATTTTTCTATGAAAGCTTAAAATTTGTTCATGTTTCCTAATTTTTTGGTTATATTTAGCATTTAAATTTACTGAAGTCAGCTATGAAATATGTTAATACAATTTTAAAAGATTATTTATATTTTTCTTTAAGATAAACTAACGAGTAGCTTCTTTGTAAAAAACATTTTTAGTGATTGGAATCTTAAACGTCCCAGAATGCTGCTATGAAGTATTTTGAATATTAGTAAAGTCTCCTGTATCTTCATAATTTCTTAAATTTAATAGATGTGTTCTGTAAATTCAACACATTGAATACCAGTATTCGATTGAAAAATATTATCAATCATAAGTTATCAATTTTTATGTAATCTCTTATGACGAAAAAAACTCAAGACTGTGTAGGGCACCATTTATTGCACTGACACATAGTAAAGCTTGTCCCTTAAAATCAAAATTCTTGAAATTATCTGAGGGGCGAATCGTTGGCTCTCTCCCTCTTGTTTGACAACAGTGAATTGACTGCATCCATTACTTGTATAACCTAAAAATTATTTACTTTATCTTTAAAAAAATGAGAAGGTGACGGAAATGCTTCGGCAACAGTGAATAAAAGAAATCAGCCACTATATATGTACATACCTTGAGCTACTTAAACTTATCAAATACAACCGATTTCATATCGGGTTGAAACTACCGGAATGCCATCGAGAAAAACGAGAAGAGCACGTCACACTTTAAATTCCTACAATTTAAAACAGAACAATTAAAATTAAAATTGAATAATTTAAAAAACAGAACTCTAAAAGTTCTGAATTTTTCTTTAGTAATATTACTCACCTTCCATATGAATACCGGTATTCTCTATTTTTAAATTTCCTTAAATTTTGAACCATAGATTAACAAGTTTAATCGAATAATAAAAAAATAGGAAATGTACTAAAAGAACATATTAATATTAATTTTGTAAACTACCAGTTGAAAAATTGGAAGTGCAAAGTGGAATATTCACACTCTGAATACCGGTATTTATTTTTATCACGCTTAATATCGTTCAACGTTGAAGAATGCTACAGTTCTCTCAGTGGTATTTTTCCCTAAAAATATATCTAACGCACAAGTTGAGTGATACAAAGGGTAACGGTACGTTTCATTTGACAATGTCCGTTCGCCATTTTGAACTTCAGATATATTACTCTTCCGTTTGAAGAATATGCGCCAACAGCTATAATGGTTAACCAGAAAATAGGTACATCAAGCTTACTTTATCTACCACGTAGAAAGACTTGATTTATATGACCAACTGTGAGATATTTAATCGTAACAAAGAGACACAATGTTTGGCATCTATGATTAGAAGTCATACAATTCTCGTATCTTCGCTGAATCAACAGTAGCTGTATTTCCCCACTTTTTATTGTAAATTTACAACTTTTTTGTTGCTTTAAATTTGTGATGAACTCAGATTTCGAAATTTGGTAATTCTAGTGAGATTTTGTGACATAGAATTGTTATAAGACGACACTTGTGGTATATCAAATTCAAGCTTAAAGTACAAGGAAAATGGCGGTACATACTAATCACTATTGTTTTTAATACAAAATGTCTGGTAGCTAGTTATAGCAAACAATGACTAATTTCAATATACGTAATGTTTACACGAGATTTTATGACATAAAACTTTTGTAAAATGACACCTATGATATATCAAATTAAAACTTAAAAATTAAGGAAAATTATTGCATAAGCGGCTTTCCAAATTTTCCACTTACAAAATAATCAATTCATTGAAGCAAACAATGCTTCATGCACAATAAATCTTAAGATATTTGAAAATTACAATCAATAAATTATAAAAATGTATAATAAAAATAAAGAAAAACATCACTTTTAAATATAATAATCTCTACCTTTAAAAATATAATAAAATAATCTTAACTTTTATTTCTGCCTCATATAATCTTAAAACAGTTGATTTTCCTGTAAATATTTTATCACATAATTTACTAACAAGCGCAAAGTGAAAATATCTTTTACTTAATTTAATAAATACAGAATATTTTCTGATTCAGTTTCATATATATGTATGTTACCGTGAAAGACCGAAATCTGGAGAATGTCGACTTTCACCGGTGAATGTCAGTGTTGCATTTAGTTTTAGCAGAAACCACTTCAGAAAGTATTTTAGAGTACTTTTCTTGCGAAAAATAAAAACAATTGTCTTCTCGTTTACCCGCAATTAATGCATTTAACTTTTCAAGAAAAAGATCACGATTTACTGCAGTATCCATTCAGTATAAATTACGGTATTGGAAAAAAAATTAAGAAAACGTTGCTCGCATCATCAAAGCTTGCATAAGATTGACAAAGCTGACTGACTCCCAGCAGAACACAGGATTTGGCGGGAGAGAGTCAGTCGCTTCTTCGTCGGCTCCTCTCTTTTGGACCTTCACCAGAGCATATCTGTGATTGTCGACATACACCGGTGAGAGTCCGAATGTACAAGAATATAATAAAATATTCGATCTTTCACTGACGTATTTGGTATGTGTTGACATTCACCGGTAAAAGTCGACATTCTCCAATTTCGGTCTTTCACGGTAACATATATCTTCTATATGTTCTTCAAAAAAAGAACACATTTTCACGTGTGATTTGTGACATCGTTAACGTTTCATAAGCTTAATGATCACTATTATTGGTCGCTAGATTTGAAATCCAAAACCGAGCACACTAGCCGACAAATAATGAGCCGCCACTTAATACGCCGATAGGAATGCCCGTCGCACGCATTATTCACGCACACGTCGTGCACTTCACACTTCTTGTCATAGAAACTAAAGATGTGTTTGCACTAGGCAAGTACTGCAGACATGTTCAAATAAGTACAGTAACCATTCAATATAAACAAAAATGTCATTTACGATATACTCACAACATTTTGGACATAAAAAGTTATTACCACCACTTGGGAGAAGAAGCATCGAAACATCCAGAAGCTTCCTCGTCGAGAAATGTAACGTGATCCAGGTTCTCATATATCCGTGGAACAATACATATGCAAATATAAAACCTGTTTACTTTTGATCTTTTCATTATCAAACTTTTACCAATAGATTTTGCTGATTCAATTGAGACCAAACTCGATATAATTTAAACTATATTTACTGGTTTAATTGACGATAAGTTTTAAACGCAGAGAAGAATAGCAAGTGAAAAAGAGCCGCTGCGTAGCAGTCGGCGAAGGTCGAAAGCCTGTTCAATTGTTTACAGTGCAATACGTTGCTAACTTTTTTATTTTGAGCCCATTTTTTATACTTCTTTCAACTAGTTTGTGATAGTTTCCCGATTAAAATGAGACCAAATATAACACAATTCAAAAGATATTTATTTGTAATAACTTCAAGTCCTCAACGTAAACAAAGCACCAATTATAAATTAATATGTTCAAAATTACGTTGTGTTTTGTGTCATTTTAATCAAGAAAATGTCGCAAATGTGTTGGCAAAAGTTTCGTAACGAAAAGTAAAAAAGAGAAAAGTTTTATTCTTGCAGTAGGATTGTCCTATCAATGTTACTCTTTATGTTCAATAGTTCGGCATTGTCTCTATTGGCTGTTTGTTTCTATGTTCAACAAACTTGAATCAATCGAACTACACAATACAAGCGAAACTTCAAACAGGAAATATTCCCTTATATCGAGACTTTATTGTAATCTCTATCATCCTTTTCGACCACATTTCGACATTTCATCCAGAGAACTACGATTTCGACTGTCAGACATATCACGTGATTACGCGAATAGCGCCGAAGGGAAACGAAGTTACCCGATGTGTCATTACTCTTCCGTTTACCGCGAATTCTACTTCAGTGAAGCGTCAATGTAATCGAAACGCTTGAAATTACAAGTAAGTGTTCCAAATTACGTTATATGTGGTATCATTTTAATCAAGAAAATGTTACAAATATGTTGGAAAGAATTTCATAACGAAAAAGTCAAAAATAAAAGTTTTATTCTTATATTAGAATTATTCCAACAGAGTTCTTGTTTGTTTACGTTCAGTTCGGACACTGTTCTTTTCTACGTTCCGCAAACGTAGAAGAGGACCTGTACGACATAAGCAAGCAACGGACATGTTGTTTTACTAGCCGTCTTCTTATATTTAACAAAATATTAATCAATGTACTATAAACAGTACATTTATAGTAGATCTATAAATATCGATCGATAGATTTGTTTATATCGTATAATTACTGTAACATAAGAGTGTAGGAAATAGCTTGGCAGGTTATGTGTGAAAGCTTCTTAAATACACGTTATTGCTGTTAGTCGGCAGATAATATGCCGATTCCTGGAAGAGCCGTCTCTCGCACCCCTACAGCGGCATATTATCTGTCGGCTAGTGTACTATGATCCTTTCATTACACGCACCGACCAGTAGTCGAACGATGTCAAAACATGTTTTTTCTCACCCATATGGAAGCATGTTAGATCAAATTACTTTCTGTGGCCACATCGTTTTCACGTTTCCCAAAACAGAGTGCTATCCACGGTGTCGAATGTCCTCAGGGTGTTTCATGGTTATTTGTTATTTCAGTCGAACTCCTTGAATATTTTCTGAGAAAATGGACCCCAGAAAAAGTTATCCTGATCGCAGGATCATAGACCTTTTGTTAGATCAACATAGGGAGACATTGAACGTTGTGAGAAACATAGCCTGGTGCGATTTACAAATTTCTACATTTATACAATTAGGAATTTGAAAATTTTTTTTCAATTTTTTTTAGTAATTTGCACACATCTCAGGTATCACTATTCATTAATTTGATCAATTAGAAATATAGAAATTAAAGAATTTACAGTGATGAAACACAGAAATACTGAACTTTCAAATTTGTTACCGATTTCTAAATTTAAAAAAATTTGGTATTTTTGGAATTTTCAAAACTAATTTTCGATTTCCCGTGAACTTGAAAAGTGATTATTTTTTTATCAAAGAAGTAGTTGGCGTTGCATGTTTCAGTGAAACTAATAATCACAGGTCAGGAAGGGTTAATTAAAGCTGGTCTACCGTCGAGTTTCCGGGCTCCAAGAATAAATAACCAAATCGATAATGTATCTCGACGAGCGGCGCTCGGCTCAATCGATTCCTTTGCATGTGAAAAATTAAAGAAGATGGACGAGTTTCTCATACAGTTAATGCAAAGAAACATTCCACGGTTCTGATCGAAATAACACATATTTTTGAGGTCGCTGCAATTTCTGCCTATAACATACTTTTCTTACTTTTTTCCTTCTTTAAAAATAACATTCGTGTTGATGATATTTTAGATAAGTTGTTATTGTTTTGTTGGGTATGTTATAACTCATTGTGAGTCGTGGTATTTAAGAATTAATTTCAGGTATGATAGATTTATAACGGAAACAGCTAAACGTTTCAGAATTTGAAAAATGGATAATAGTGGATTTTAATATTTTGAAATTTGTAAAGAGTATTTGAAAAATTGTTGTGCATTTTCTTCAAGAAATTTGAGAATTTTCTAAACTTGAGTATTTTCTCATATACAAGTCCCCAAATTCTAAAATTTGTTAATTATCAAAGCTTTTAAATTCTAGTATTCTCAAATTTTTATATTTCTATATTCGTAACTTGTAGTTCCTAAATCTCTTAATTTTCAAATTTCAAAATCGACCAGTTTTTAGATATTTAAATCCCTATATTTGTAAATTCTATAATCACCAAAGAATTCTAGAATTACTAAATTTTGTAATTTCTCAATGTGTAGAATCAAAAATTCCCTAGTCCTTAAATTGCCAAATTTCTTATTCTCAAAAATCCCAAATTCACTAATTTCCAAACCACCAAATTATAAAATTTTTAATACAAACCTCCTAATTTTCAAATTTCCTAGTTCTAGGATTTCAAAATTTTAATTTCTAAATTCGAAAATTACCAAATGTTCACATTATTAACTGTCTATATTTCCAAATTCCCTAGTATCCAAATTATTGAGACCCCAAATCACTAAATTTTGCAAATTCTATATTTCTAAATTTCTAAATCCTTTAGTCCCTAAATTTTTTATCTATTAAAATTCTAATATCAAAATTCCCTAAACTTCGAATTACAAAATTCCCTAGTTCCTATATTCCCAAATTTTCTGGTTGTAATATTCTCAGCTTGACTAGCCCCTACATTGAAATTCCCTAGTTTCTATATTTCCAAATTTCCTGGTTGTAATATTGTCTAATTCACTAGCCCCTACACTGAAATTCCCTAGTTTCTATATTCCGAAATTTCCTGGTTGTAATATTCTCAGCTTCACTAGCCTCTACATCGAAATTCCCTAGTTTCTATATTTCCAAATTTTCTGGTTGTAATATTCTTAAAGTCACTACGCCCTGCATTGTCACAAATCCTTAGTTCTGATATACCCAAATTCTCTGGTTTTAATATTCTCAAATTCACTAATTCCTACATTATCACAATTCCCTAGTTCCCAAATTATCTAGTCACCATATTCTCAATCTTCTATATTTTTAAATTCCCGTATTCACCAGTTCCTAAATTTGCAAAGTTCTGAGAATCCTCTAGCCTCAAAATTCCCTAGTCGCCAATCCCCAAAATTCCCTAGTTTCTAAATTTTCAAATTGATTGGTCCCTAAATTTCCCATCACCAAATTTTTATATTTCCAAATTTCTTTATTGCCAAATTCCCCAGTCTCTAAATCACCAAACTTTCACGTTTCTAAATTACTAAATCAATCAATTTTTAAGTTTCCAAATTTCTACTAGCTTCAAAATTTCCCTTAGTCCTCGAATTCTAAAATTACCTAATCCCTAAATTCTGAAATTCGCCATTTCCTAAATGTCCACATAAATTTTGAAATTCTAAATTCTTATATCCTCCAATTCACTAGTTTCCAAATTTTGTAATTCTATATTTCTAAGAATCTGAGTCCACCAGTCCTCCATTTCCCAAATTCCCAGAGTCCTAAATTTCGTAATTATCTTCAAATTGTTCTGTTTTGCAAAAGCCAATTCAATGAACTGAAAACAAGAGCTGCGATACAATGTAGTACTTTGTTACGGCTAACACATATCAATCGTGTTGCACATTTGCAACAGAGTAGCCAGCGAAGAAGGTTGACTTGGCAAGGTGTTCGTGCGACAATCGTGCCGAAGGTGTCACGAATTCGAATCTAGTTACCTAGCCGACAAGCAAAGAGAGAGAAAGAGATACGCGAGGCGAATGTTTTCGTTAATGTTGCTAGGTGGTTCTATAATGGTCCTACGTTCCAAATCACTTATGTCTGCTCGTTCTATCTGCCAGCCACCCTTATAAGATCATCTAAAGCCGCGGGGACTACGACCGACTACGGAGTTCCGTGCTTCGTTTTCATCGATTTTGCCGACACGCGAGGATGCGGCCAAGTCTTCTTGGACCTTTACACTTACCACTTTCTTCGATATTCTGTTATGAAAAATATTGCTAGGGAAAGGGTTGAACTTTAATTTACAAGGTATGAAGAAGAAAAAATTTGATGCGGCTAATGTGATGTTTTTTAGGAGGATAAAATATTTTGTTAGTATAGGTAGTATAGTGTTTAGGCAAAGTTAGTATAGTGTACAGTCAGATATGCGTAATCAGAGGATATTTCAATATGTGCATATATATATCATTAGTAGGATTACGTATATTGCATAATTGGAGCAAGATTTTGTATGTGTATATCTAAATTTCGTATGTGTATTCGTCTAAGAATTCGTATGTGTATAATAAGATATGCATAGAAGATTTTCAGGCGTGATGTATATGTTATATATCGTCAGAAAGATTACATATGTATAATCAGGGTGAGGGTATGTATATATAGTTTTTATACTTTGGGGGTTCTTATAATCATATAAGTGCTGCTTGTGACGAGAGCGGAGCAACTGCGTTTTCTAATTTAGATTTTTGAATGTTACAAAGTTTCAAAGTTTTGGTGTTTTAGAAATCCAAAAATTTGATTTTTCAAAATTCTCGACGGTCCCAAAATCACAACTCACGATACCAGAATTTTGAAAAAGGAAAACTAAAAATTTCGAAATACGCAAGTCCCAAAATTACAGTGTTTTCTAATACAATATTATGAAAGTCCAAAAATCTAAAAATTTGAAAGTTTCTCGGTTTAAAAACTTTTAAGTCCCAAAATTCGAACACTTCATAATTCTTAAGTCATTTTTAAATTCCAAAACTTGTAAGTTCTAAAATTAAACAATTTCTAAAAATGTATAGGTTCCAAAATCCCAAACTCGGTAATTTGTATGGCCCAAATCTCAAACGCCTAAAATTCTAAAATTTCAAAATGCATAGGTCCCAAAATCTCTGGAACTCAAAATGTAGAATTCCAAAGTTTCAAAAGGCCATAATTCGTAAATTCTAAAATCCCAAATTTAAACAATTCGAAGGGCCCAAAATTTTATAATTCGTAAATCCCAAAGTTCTGTAATTTATAAGCCCCAAAATTCCACAATTCATGTTCCAAAGTTGTAAATTTCAAAATTAGAAAGTCTCAAAATTTCGTTATTCATTACACCTAAAATTCTATAATTCATAAGTCCCAAAATCTAAAAATTTCAAAATTCTATAATTCATAAGTCTTATATCCAAAACTCCCAAAGACAAAAATTTTGAAAGTTCAAAAATTTCATAATTTCCAAAATTCTAACATTCATAAGTCCCATAATTCTAGTATTCATAAAACCCAAAATCGCAAAATTTCATAATTTGTAAGTCATAAAATGCCAAACTTAACAAGTTTCAAACTTTTTAGATTCCAAAATTTATCTTCAAAATTCGAGAGGCCCAAAATTACAGAATTCATAAGTCCCAAAATTTCATAATTCTTGAGTCCCAAAAT